ATGACCATGTCAACACTATGTCTAACTCTAAGGGTATGTTTGGGAGTTTAAAGGAAAGGGGAGAGGAAGGTTTTGAAGGTTAGTCATTGGAAGGGAAGGGGAGGGAAAGGGTTGGAAATCCTTCTTCTTGTTTGGGAGTATCAAGTTTGAAAAGATAAAGGTTTTGGATGAATTATAATTAAAATCACTTCATATATATGATGAATTCAAATAATTGAGTTTATATTTACTTAAAATTGAGCTAAAGTTGTCATTTAATTTGTTATCCTTCAAAGTTCTCCAATTGGGGGAACTTGAAAATTGAGCATTTGAAGGGTTTTGGAGGGTTACAAAAACCCTCCAAAATCATTCCCTCCATATTTTTAAAATCCCAAACATGAAAGGGAGGGTCGTAAACCCTTTTCAACCATCCTCTCCTTCAAAACTCAACTCCCAAACATACCCTAAGGAAACGCTCCATTACAACACAGTGGTCGTTTACATGTAATACTACAAACTCTTCTAAGAGTTATCCCCATATCACATACTCCCTCCATCCCGGAATTATCTTCATACTTTTCTTTTCGGTCCGTCCCAAATTTATCTCTTTTTTCCCATTTTGGTAAAGAATATGTGGTTCACAACCATTCTTACACATTTCTCTCTCCTTTACATAACTCTCCACCACACAAATCCCACTATCTTAAAACTCGTGCCCGGTCAAAACCAGAGTTAAATATGGGACGGAGGGAGTAGTATTTTTTGTCCAGGTAGGGGGCATGGTTTTTATCTTAAGTACTAATACTAAATTTCGGGGTCAGAACTCAGAAGTGGGGGCACTTGCCCCTCAAAGCCCCCTAGATCCTCCACTACATTTGTGTCTTGTGAGCCAGGTTGCTTTGTATGGTGTGACTGACGCCATGTCTATTTCTAGGGCTTACGATCAGATCTATAATAATTGTTTTGAGATATTCATGAATGTTTTCTCTATATTAATATAAATTGGTTATCATATTATGAATGTTCTTACTAAATAATGAACTTTTATCAAAGAGTTGCAATGTTTTCTTTAAATATTCAAATGATAGAGCTAATAATTGCTACATATGTACTACTTCCGTCTCTCTAGACTTTGTCAACCTTTCTTATTTGTGTGCCTAAATAAGTGGAATAATTTTGCAAATTTCCTTTAAAAGTAATGAGTTTGTGATTCAACTTATTACTGTTCCTTTGTATAAACTTCAACCACACGATTTTTACTTTCTTTATCACACACTCAATACGAAGTTGATAATGTCTACGGGGCAGAATAACACAACATCGTCTCCTCCAGACTTCAACGTAATTTTAATTCGCAAGAAACCATTTGGCTCACTCGTCTTATTACTAGTGCTTTTAATACTAGTGCTTTTAAGGAGCCACATGTGACTTTCTTATGAAGTTATATGATATACTGTGACCTGTGACATCATCACCACCACACATTTATTTCAAGGAGTCTCAATTAAATAATTTTGTGTTGATGGTAATGCCAAAATAGATAATGTGATTATTCTATAAAACTATTCACATTCATGGACGGTAAGAAATCTAAAATATAAACACCGTCTATATGATAGTATTGCATAGACTCCGTCAATATTTTTTACTTATCAATTTAGTAAAACATTAGTTAAATTTTTATTAGCATTATTTATTTTGATTTTTTCCTAAAACACTTTAAAAATAAACAAAGCACATTTCAATGTTAAAAAGATTTCATTAATTTTTTTGACTTTTCGAGTATTAAAGAATAAAATTAATTCAAGTAAAGTTCAGTTATCTATGGAGGCGTTTTATAAAATTTGAAGTACAACTAAAAAAAGTTGTAAAAACTAGTTAAAATCTTTTATTACGGGTTCCATTTCCTTCTTGTTTTCCTTTGACGTCGTCTTTTTTCTAAATGCAAGATTCAATACTCCTATTTGAGAATAATTTTGTTCAGCTCTCAAAAGAGGATTTGTTATACCGTGTGAGCATCCCACGGTGAGCATGGTACTCCCATTAATAAAAAGCTTCATTTGATATAAAATTTCAGCTTAGAAAACGCGGATGAACAGTAACATTAGTTTTTGTCTAAATATTTTTATGTGATGTAAATCATGTGTATTGAAATGTAACTCATGGTCTTGCGCAATGTAATTTCAGTTACTCGTAAATGTAACTCATATGCACTTGAATGTAACTTTATCCCTTTCCATAATTATTCAGGTAAGTTAGATGTAAATCACGGTAATTATAATGTAATTTGTTGAGGTACGTCAAAATGTAAATCACATGAATTTAAATGTAACTTGGTACAAATTGTAATGTAAGTTGGGTTAAAGGAAATGTAAACTATGGCATATTGAAATACAACTTAACACCAATCAAAATGTAAATTCTCATATACTCCAAATATAACACCAATGCTTCAATCGACGTAACTAAATAAGGGCAAACTCGCCGGTGAGACTACGAGCATGGCCGAAGATGGAAAAGCTATCCCAAGGGCGTAGCGAAGGTTGGCCCAAATTTACAAATTTTCTATGTTTTTAGTGTAAAAATTTCGTGTAATTTTTTTTCCAAAACTATTCTTTGTATCGGCCTAGTCTGGTCCAGTGCCCTGGCTCCGCCCCTGAGCTATCCTATCTGTCATCTTTAACATGAAAGTGCTTCAATCGAGTCTTGTGGATGCTACCAGGGGAAATCTCTCCTTCACAATGGGGTTCAAACAAGTCAATACCATCTGCGCACATGAGGAATTAAGCGGAGTTCGGATGTGGATCTCACGGCAACCAGAAGCGGCGAAGATTTCGACGGCTATGCCACAATTATGCTAGCGGAGAATCAGAATCCCCACGACGATGAAGCTTCATATCTAGCGACGCTGATCCACCTTCGAGATCTGACTCCCTAGCGGTGGTGGTCTGATCTGCGACCACACCATGAGATTTCAGGGGATGCTCTGCGGCCAGAGGAGGTCTGATCTGCGACCACATCGCTCGCATCTCCAAACCTGCGAGTAAGGTTGATTTTCTGCGTTTTTAATACAATACTACACCTTTTTGGAACAGGTACATCGTGCGCACGATGTAACGATCATGATGGAGTATATGGCCCAGGGAACCTCGACCCATAGATTCCTCCTTTTTCCTACACAAGCCCATCAAACCCGATGAGCACACAAAGCCCAAACGTAGCGGCCCAAGCGTGAAGGAGCCCACGGTGCACATGTGGACGCCTTTGGCCCTATGGACGAGGGCTCCAAATTCTAGGAGACATCTTGAGATGGACCTGCAAAGCTTCTGGGAACTTCTGGCTAAAATGTTAGTCTTTGGCTATTCCATGCCCTCGACGTAATATAGCCTTCGGCTATATGATGCCTTTGACTATATAATGCCTTCGGCCACACGTAGGCCTTCAATATATAGCAGACTCGACGAAGATTCCTTTGAGAGACAGGCAACCATCGTATTTAATGCGACGTCACGTCCAACCACCGCACTTAATGCAGTACACATGCAAATGCCGGTGCCACCCCGACTGAGGTGATCATCGGACGTCAGGTGTTTGACACGTGTCCCTACCTAGCATTTATGGCTACTATAAATAGCGCCATTTTCCGTTGTAATCGACACAACTGAGATATATCGAATATACTCTCATTCTCTGTCTTACTTGCTCTGACATCTCTCTAAGTTATTCTCCGTAATAACCCTTCAGATAAGCCACCCTCGGGTACACTATCCATCAGATCATATAGTATAATTTGCCTCAAAAGAGGTTGAACATCACCCGCACCATCCAATATTGCCACATGTCATAGCAATACATTACAACTTTGCAATTGTTAGTACCTCTGTCCAAAAAACTTTGTTATTTTCAAAACTTTGACCAACTACTCCGTATATCTTCTTATTGGAATTTATTTATAATATAAAAATTATATGAAAATGTTTTTTGTAAAATTACTTTCATAAAAGTATATAATTTATAACTTTCATAATATTATACTCCCTCCGTCCCTAAAAGGATTGCCAAGTTTGACCGGCACGTAGAATAATAAAGTAAAAACTGTGTGGTAGAGATTTGTGCAGAGGAGAGAGAAATAACAGAAACCACAAATTGATTGACTAATAGAGAAAGTGTCAAAGTTTTTGGGACAACCAAAAAAGGAAAGTTGGCAAAGTTATAAGGGACGGATGGAGTACTAATCAAAATCATGATTCAAATTTTATGAAATGACAATTTTTTTTTGGGACGGAGGTAGCATAACTTTATCATTTTTTGTTCAATTTTTTCAAAAATGTATCAATACTCTTAATTGTTTATTGCTATGTTATTTCATATGATACTAATATTGCATACGTAAATTTAGAAAAACCGGCTAAGAAATGTTTTTAAAAAAATCTTCTATTTTTTATATGCAATATGAATAATTGAATATCATTAGAAAGATCATAAAAAGTTACTCCGCATTAAATTTGATATATTTTTGTGTGACAATTAAATTATACTCCCTCCGTCCCACTGAACTTTTACAACTTTCTTTTTTTGTTGTCCCAAAAAATTTTGGCACTTTCCTTTTAAAGCAATGTTTTTGTGGCTCTGTTTATTTCTCTCTCCTCTGCACAAATCACAATCACACAAATTTTACTATTCTAGTTTCCCACCTAACATCAACTTGACAAAGTTAAGTGGGTAGGAGGTAATATATATAAAAGTTATAATAATTCTAAGAGAAAAAGATTATGATGTCAAATGACAAGTGTAGAGAGGAGGGGGTTATGTTCACTCTCTCATGAGGCATTTAAATTTTAAAATGTTCATTTTAAACATTTTGGACTTTTAATAATCCCTTTATCAGGCAAAACAGTTCTCAGTTTCCTTTTTGTATCATTCCAATTTTTTTTCTCATTTCTGATTTTGGAATTTTTTTTGCGACTATCGTTCATTTTTTGTTACCGGTATGATAAGTGTCCCCTTTATTCCCATTTTCACGGGATTCATTACTCGTTCAAATTTTTGGTCTTACAGCTCACTCGCCATAAGGCCCCCACAGTTTCGCCCTACTTCCTCTTGTTTCTTCTCCCAGTATCTACTCTCCCATCCCTGCGTTCCCCACACTGAACCAAACTAAATTGATTATAGCTTCCGAAACCCTAGCGCTACATATCATGTATGCGTAATCTACTACATACAGTACTTGTACATACAGATTAAGCTAATATGACGATACTTTATGCATTGGTCGCGAGGGGATCGGTGGTGCTGGCAGAACACAGCGCGACGCAGACCAACGCCAGTGCGATCGCCCGACAGATACTGGAGAAGATACCTGGGAACACTGATAGCAACGTTTCGTACTCTCAGGATCGCTATATTTTCAACGTTAAACGCACCGATGGCCTCACCGTTCTCTGTGTGGCAGACGACGACGCAGGGAGTAAGTACAACATCAAATTCTCTCACTCTCAGATTACGATCTTTCTTTTGGATTCAGATTGAGATTGATTGCATCTTCTGCTCTACGAGTATTTAGCGTTTCTTGTACTTAATTTTGAGGAGAAATGAAGATGTCCTAGATTTGTCATTGCAATGTCATAGTTTTTTTTATTAGACCCCATATAGTAAACCTATCAAAACTCCTACTTATATTAATGATGAAATGATGAAGTTTAATTCGAAAACTGCCTACATGTAACTGAAAATTAACTTTTTCTGATTTCTAAAATCTGTTTCATTGGCAGTTTTAAAAAACAGAAAGTAGGAAATCACTCCAAATAGGGCCTTGCTTGGTTTCTCTATGATATACATTTTACCTTGCTGCAGAAAACAATGTATGGTACTATGGTCATTCATATATAGAGGATCAGTTTAGTGGAGAACTTTAAATATAATAATGTGATCGTTTTGCATGGGTTTGTCTAAACTAGAGCATGTTATTTTGTCTGTGGTCCTGAACTGTGCTGCATTTGTGGATTAATTTCGTTTCTGTTGTTCTATGGTGCTGATTGAGTTGAAGCCTTGAAGGCTGGCTCAAAATTTTGGAATGCTAAAAATAATACTGTATTTTCAACTAACCAAATTGGTGCATCAGAAAGGAAGTGATACCTAAATCCCTTCTGATTTCTAATTCTGAAAGTACTGCTGTGGACTGTGGTAGTCATTCTGTCTCATTTGAAGAGGAGTAATATTATGTAACATGGTTAGTTAAGTACCAGTGGAAGTAGCTCTGGTTTAATTCAACTCAACAGTAAATCATGGGAATCAAACTTCTATCCATAATACCCTCTTGGCTTCTTTTAAATGAAAGATTTTGGATTCACCTTACAATTTATCTATAGTTTAGACCTTCTTTAACTCTTCTGTCAACATCCATTTTTAGTCGGACAATAACTCTTCCCGCAACATCCAAGTCAGACAGAGTGCCTATGTTGTTGCTTCTTCTGTCCAAAACTATAATGGACATTTCTTTTTAGCGTGTTTCTTACTGAAATCTTATAAATGTGATCCTACAATTTCCTTAGTTATCCTTCATAAGGACCGTTCCCCGGACCATCGCCTTGCGAGGACACCAATGTGCACCATGCTGCCCCCTGTTGAATCTGAAAAGTGATTTATTTTGCAACGAACTAAAATAGAAGGTAGAATAACTAAAAAGGATGGACGTTGGAAAACGTTGCTTTTCTTGGATCCAGAGGTGTACCATAGATTTTTCACTGTTGCAATAATCCTATTGTGGTGCTTCTGTATTTACACGCATTTTAAAAATAAATTAGTCTCCCTGTTATACACTTATACATCTATTATATACTCCATAGTATATTGACACAAGGAAATAGTTTATTTCTTTCTTTTTTTCATATATTAGTATTATTAGATATTGCCATGCAGGAAGAATTCCATTTGCTTTCCTTGAGGACATTCATCAAAGATTTGTGAGAACATATGGTAGAGCTGTACTTTCTGCACAAGCATATGCTATGAATGATGAATTCTCAAGAGTCCTGAGCCAACAAATGGAATATTACTCACATGATCCCAATTCAGACAGACTGAACAGGCTAAAAGGTGAAATGAACCAAGTAAGTTATGATTTTGAATTGGTTTCCTGATGGTTAAGTTTGATTTAAGATGAGTGTATCCCTCAGAATATTCACCACTAGTGCAGTAAACCAGTCTCTTAATTTACTTTCGGCCTCCAACTCTACAAATTCATCTCAATCGTCACCAAGATATATTTGTTCCCTTGTCATGTAATAGGTGCGGAATGTCATGATTGAGAATATTGACAAAGTTCTTGACAGAGGAGATCGTTTAGAGTTGCTTGTTGATAAAGCTGCCAACATGCAAGGGAACACCATTCGCTTCAGGAAGCAGACCCGACGTTTCAGGAGCGCTGTATGGTGGAGAAATGTGAAGCTCATGTATGCTACTTAATGTTATTCTTCACATTCTCAACTCAAATTTTAATCCAAATGTATTTACATTGGTTCACTATACACTGGTAGTTTCTTTTGCATTAGATTAGATGTAATTTGCCCATAGTCAGCCTGATAATGCCTGCAGGTGATCTGGCCACATATTTTTTTCTTTATTTACAGCCCCCCCCCCCCCCCCCTCCCCCAAAGACTGTAGTTGTAGTATGTATTGCAGTAATACAAACAACAACATCCAAGCCTTAGTCCTAAAAGATTTTGGGGTCAGCTAACATGTATCGATACATGATATTAAAACCAAAAGGAAAAGAAAGATAAGAAAGATAAAAGGATAACTTATGATCAGAGGATAACTGGTAGTAGATAGAACAAAACAACCTGCTTTTCTTCTTCCCCGTCCTGTCATTGATGGCCAAAGTAATAAAATAGTGGCTTTTAGGAATGTAACTTGCAACTCCATGTGACAATTTTTAAGGCTTCTATATAAGCAAAAGGTTAATTTCTTGATATCTTTTTAGGTTGATAAGTTGAAACTACAAATTACTACTTCATTCAAATGGCATCTTTTCAAATATTCACGATTGCAATAAGCCTTCACCCTTCCCCATTATACATATGTGCTAAATTTAGCGAGGAAGTAATTTATTCGAAGTGTCTGTCTTGTAAGCTTCTTTTTCTTCTTATCAGCTTAGTGAGCCAGTGGTTTACAAAACAACTGATCTTACCGACTTACCGCCATGGCACCATTTGATGATGAAGAAAACAAGTAGTGCATGATGAATTGCTCTTTTAGCTTAAATGAAAGAAAATGACACTTCTACTTTTTTACACACTTCGTATTGGTTTCTGTAGCTTTAAAAACATTTTCTAATATTTTTTAAATGATTTAGAAGATGTGGTCATCTTAGCCATAAGTTCTCTAGATTAATCTACTTTAGCCATTTTAGGTCTTTAATAAATGGACTCTGATATAAGCATTTTCTTGATCTGATTGAGTTTTTGTAACTACAATAAGGACTGCTAATTTTCTCCGCATTGAACCATACATGAACACTCTGGTTGATGCTTTGCAGAATTGCACTGATAGTCCTCCTCCTGGTGATTGTCTATGTCGTTCTGGCCTTCGTCTGCCATGGGCTTACACTTCCAACTTGTGTGAAATGAGAAGCAGGGAATAGTGTATGGCAATGGCTATTATTAGCTCTTTGTTGTAATGTTATTATCTTGCACAGAGTTTTTGTTTCAATTTCTTGTTGATTTTTGTGTTAAAAGAGAAAGTAATGATATGTGTACCAACATAATGGTAACAAACATCCCAACCATCCCAAACTAATGAATGTCATACTTATTATTCTTTATAAACATAAAATTTCTTACTTTTGTATGGTTGGCATGTATGTTGGTACAAAGAATTCTTTTTTTAACAAAAAAACAAAACGAGTGTTATTGTGTTATAGTTATATGTTGCAGTCATATGCTATGTAGGTGTTGCAGTTATATGTTGTCTAAGTTATACTTCGTATATCTTATGGTTAATTTGAGTAATACTACGTATGACAATGTTTTATAACTATAACTATAGGGTCTATACTCTATAGTACATGTCTTATAAAAACGAGTGCTATGTTGTCTAATTTAATACTCTCTCCATTCTTTTTAATTGAAACATTTTGACTTTTACATTTGTCGATGCGCAACATTAAATCTAATTATATTTAATTACATATATCATTAAACATTATAAAAAGTTAATGTTTGAGAACTTCAAATTAATAGAAATTTAATGCGTAGTAATATTTTATACATAATAATTTGGTTATTTATATAGTAGTAAGAAATCATGGTCAAGTTAGAGTATTTGAGTAGTGCGAAAATCACAATGTTGCAACTATTAAAGAACGGATGAAGTATGTCTTATGTAGTTATATAAATGGGAAAATGTACAAACATACCCTTGTAGTAAAGGTGTGAGAACAAATATATCACTGTTATATTTTTCTGTAACAAATACATCCTTGTAGTATATTTTGAAGTGCATATATATATATCCTTGAATTTTTAAAAAATGCAAAGCTACCCTTCATGTTCTTATGAAAGAGCAAATTTACCCTTAATTTTAAATAGATAAATATACTTCAAAAACACCAAAAATAAATTCTAGATTCGGAATTTTAAAATAAAGATTTATTCTTATGTTAAAATAATACACTTTTAATTTTAAATTTTAAAATTAATATTTGTCCGTTGTAAATGAAGCACTTCAAATTCATAAATATTAATTTTAGTTTTGTTGGAAATTTTGAACACATTGATACATTTTTTTAAATAACATTCTTTAATTTTGTTTACCCTTAATAAAAATAAATTCACTATTTTGTAATCGTGGACTACTTATCATCATAGAAAATATGTATAGTGCAAAATATTAATATATTTTTACATTCCAACACATGTATTAACACTTTTTCGAAAGAATCTAAAATACTAGTATATAGTAAAAATTTTAAATAATATTTTATACTAACAATATTAAATTGTGATATAAAAACAATAAATGGAAGAATTGGACACAATCACACAACTACATTTTTCAAAAATTTTATTTTTAAATTTCGAGTTTATAATTTATTTTTGGTGTTTTTGAAATTTATTTTATCAATTTAAAGTAAATAAGGGTAAATTTGCTCATTCATAAGAGCATAAGGGATGTTTTTGCTCGTTCATATTGTCACAGAAGAGTCTCATTGATGTTGTGATAGGGAATCTGAGCTCGAACAGGATGGGCCGAATATGCAATAATGTGTCATGGATAGTGTAAGCAAATAGCACGATACTATGCTTCTGTAAAAGATTTGGAGACAGTGGGTTGTTTTTTGGACTTCCAAGACACAAGATTTGGCCCCTGAAAACAGCAAACCCAGTGGTGGAATGCGAAGTATCAAGACAAGTAGCCCAAACCATGATCAAGTGTTCCCTACAAGTAGCTGGAAATTCATTTGACTCGAAGAAGGTGAGTATTACGAGGAACATGCTTAAACTGAGATACTAAATGCACGACATAAGTAATTTCAAGCCTTGTCAAAGTTAAATATTGTAATGCATCTACCATACTGCGATACTCAATGATATATGCAAGAAGCTCACCATCAGTGAGAGACGGAGTAGTCCGAGAAGCAAGAGGGGCGCAGACAGATTTAAGTGATACAACTGATTAAAACCTAATTTATGTATATTATTAATCGAGACTGGAACCACCCGGTCCGGTCCCAAATTGGGTGAATTGGGACAGGCCGACCGAAAAACATGTTTGGCCGAACAATGGACGCTCCCAACTCCAAATCGGATTTTCTGGACTCGATTTGTTCCCCAAATAGTGCCGGATCGAGTTCTGAACCGGGTCCACCCCTATGGATACTTATTTCTTTGCATTAAAATGTTGTGCATAATAAACAAAAGTGATTAATAATATACCAACAAATTATTACTTGTTGTCATGTAACAACAAGTATATATGTAAATTATTGTTAAAAATTTCAATATATTAGTATTATAGCAATAGGCTAAAATGTATATATAAGTGATTCACTTAATTAAATCATAAATATCAAATAACAATATATGAAGATCTTAAAGAATCTAGCATAATACATGAACTTTATAGATTTAAGATTAAAAAACCGAGCAAAATACTATACTTAATGATTAATAAATAAAGGGTTATTATACAAATAAAATCTAAAGTTGACAGCGATCAAATGAGACGATTATGCTTCAAACGATGATTGCTTTAAAAAAATAGAAATTGCTCTAAATAGGAGTACAAACGTTTTAAAATTCCAAAATAGGAGTATCATGTTTTTTATTACCTGAATAGGAATAATTTGCCAAGTTTGGAAAAAAATGCCATGTTTTAAAGTCTAGTAATGCCAAACTTGGCATAAATTTACTCCTATTTAAGGAATAAAAAACATGATACTATTTTAGAATTTTAAAACTTTTTTACTCATGTTTAGGGAATTCTCCCTTATAAAAATTATCGATGAAATGAGACATATGCGATAGACTAATTTGGCAAGTAGCTCCAATGTTGGATTTGTTTTGTGTAATAAGCCATATATATAACATACTTTAAAAGGTTTGAATTATTCATTTCGGTTCAATTTCTAGAGATGAAAAACCAAAACCAAACATCTATTTTGGTTCAAAAATGTTACTTGTACATGCCCGGTTACACATCGATTAGACACTTGATTACATGCTCAAATGTAATTGTCTGTATACAGAAAATTGATTTTAATTTTTATAAAAAAAACGTCTGTGACCCCAAATTGTCCGTGGACAAACAATTCAGTTTTGGAGTCACAGACATGCACTACTTCTCTTTATAAAAATTAAAATCAATTATTTGTACACAAGTAATTTTTTTATTTTGACCATTCAAGTTCATTGACATACCCTTAATTATAAAGGTCTAGGGCTGTTAGCTATGGGAGTCAAAGGTATAGCAATTTTTTTGTGAGGAAGGTCAATCCTTTGTAGGAAACAAATAAAAAGGCGAAAAGTTATAAGGGCGTGACCACCATAACTATCGTGCACCCCCATCTCCAAATCCTTGTTTCGAGAGTGATGCTGCGCAGCTCCTTAGAGGTCTCTTCTCAGGCTCAACAACTTACCCAATACATACGAAGCAATCACCACCCTTCCACTACTCACTTCCATATCTCCTTCTCCATCGCTTCGCACTCACTCCGATACGTCTAAGAGATAATCGTGAATAAAGAGAATTCGAGGAATAAAATTTGATATACCGGAAAACAAATGAAGCACCGCCACCATCACCAGAATTTATCGTCTTCCGCCGCGGAAACGGCGGTGTCGTCATCGGCTTACCAATCTCCCTCTCCGGTACAACCTCCTTCATCGGCGATGTCGTCGCCAGCCATGACCTCACCGTCCTTGTCGTCGCAGAAGCCTATTGCGGCGGCAGAGGATCCTGCAGCGTCGAGGGACGCGGTATCGGTGACCACAATGGCGTCAGAATCTGTGACAGTGGAAAGGCGAGGGGAGTACGCCGCCGTGTGCAAATGGGCCATCGCGAATTTTCCTAGGATCAAGGGGCGAGCACTGTGGAGTAAGTACTTCGAGGTTGGCGGCTATGATTGCCGCCTTCTAGTTTACCCCAAGGGTGACTCTCAGGCGTTGCCTGGTTATATTTCTATCTACCTACAGATTATGGACCCTCGGAATACAACTTCGGCCAAGTGGGACTGCTTTGCCAGCTATCGCCTGGCCATAGAAAACCCCAGCGATGCCTCCAAGTCCATCCATCGTGACTCATGGCATAGGTTCTCCTCGAAGAAGAAATCCCATGGCTGGTGCGATTTCACACCCTCAAACTCTATCTCAGACCCCAAATTAGGGTTCTTATTCAACAATGACTGCCTCCTTGTAACTGCTGACATACTAATTCTGCACGAATCTGTTAACTTTTCACGCGATACCAATGAATCACAGTCCAGCTCCTCCTCCAATGTAGCCGTTAGTGGTCCCGTGGGGGATGTTTTGAGTGGGAAGTTTACTTGGAAGGTGCATAACTTTAGCTTGTTTAAGGAAATGATCAAAACACAAAAAATTATGAGTCCAGTTTTCCCAGCAGGGGAGTGCAATTTAAGGATCAGTGTGTATCAGAGCTCAGTGAGTGGGGTAGATCATTTGTCAATGTGTTTAGAGAGTAAAGACACTGAGAAGACGTTGATAACAGATAGGAGTTGTTGGTGCTTGTTTAGGATGTCTGTGCTGAATCAGAAGCCAGGTATGATTCACGTGCATAGGGACTCTTACGGTAGGTTTGCAGCTGATAATAAGAGTGGGGATAACACGAGCTTAGGCTGGAATGATTACATGAAAATGTCGGATTTTGTGGGTTCTGAGTCTGGCTATCTTGTGGATGATACCGCTGTTTTTAGCACCTCATTCCATGTAATTAAGGAGCTCTGTAGTTTTTCAAAAAATGGAGGAGTAATTGGTTTAAGATTAGGGAATAGTTCCAGGAAGTCTGATGGGCACCATGGAAAGTTCACATGGAGGATTGAGAACTTCACTAGGCTGAAGGATCTTTTGAAAAAGAGGAAGATTACAGGGCTCTGCATAAAAAGCCGAAGGTTTCAAATAGGAAATCGGGATTGCCGGCTTATTGTTTACCCTAGAGGTATAAAAAGTTAAAGTCGGTGAAGTATTTTGTGTTTTAGCATTTATTTTTATTTCTATATTGTCTGGATCTGTTTCCACTTTTAAGCATTCTGTCATCACAGCATGCGATAGTGCGATACCATAGTTTATATTTCTTATTTTTCCATATAAGGATACTATGAGTCTATGTTTCACTACTAGATGAAATGATAAGCCAAATCTGTATCCTAGCATGTCATGCATTTATGATTATGAAGTGTAGCAATGTCTGCTTCTTGATAGTTTCTATTAGTTATGCACCTTCTAAGTAAATTTAAGGTCCATGATGAAGAGAGTTGGTCACGTTCTACGGCAAAAATGTGTATATGCTGGCTCTTTTGTTTGGCTTGTTGTAGTGTCCATTTGCAATCATTGACCATTAGGTTTTGTGTAGGACACCTCATTGAAAGCATGGTTGAGTTTTGTGCATTCCTTCTCTAGATTTTACAAGTCTATGCTCAATATTTTCTAATGTGTATAAATTTGGTAAAAACTAAAACGACTCAACAATTTGCTCGTAAATGTCGCCTATAGAGTTGAGGTGCATAACCAATTCAGTTGCATCAATGATCAATCATTATTTTTCCAGTGTTTTTTTCGGTGGAACTGGTGAGGATATTTTGGTTTCTCTTTTTCTGAACTGATATAGACTAATAGATGGGTTTAATATTATATTTACCAGGACAAGCACAACCACCTTGCCACCTTTCGGTATTTCTTGAAGTCACAGACTCACGGAATACTAACAGTGATTGGAGTTGTTTTGTGAGCCATCGGTTGTCTGTTGTGAACCAAAGAATAGAAGAGAAGTCTGTAACCAAGGAATCTCAGAATCGCTATTCTAAAGCGGCAAAGGACTGGGGATGGCGCGAATTTGTGACACTGACCAGTCTTTTTGATCAAGATTCTGGATTTCTTGTTCAAGACACTGTCGTGTTTTCCGCTGAAGTCCTTATTTTGAAGGAGACTTCTGTAATGCAGGATTTTAAATCTCAAGATGATGTGTCACGACTTACAGGTTCCCAGTTGGACAGAGTTGAGAAAAGGAGTTCTTTTACATGGAAGGTGGAGAATTTTTTTTCTTTCAAGGAGATAATGGAAACAAGAAAAATATTTAGCAAATTCTTTCAGGCCGGTGGATGTGAACTCCGCATAGGTGAGCTATAATTTTATTTTCTTACTTAAATGTATGATTTTATTGTTGGTTTTCTATTGTTGATTCTAGTATTCTTTTATACTACAGGTGTTTATGAATCTTTTGACACTATATGTATATATTTGGAGAGTGATCAGTCTGGTAATGATCCTGAGAAGAATTTTTGGGTCAGATACAGGATGGCTATCATGAACCAGAAGGATCCTTCTAAAACTGTATGGAAGGAGTCTTCAATCTGTACTAAAACATGGAATAATTCTGTACTTCAGTTCATGAAGGTCTCAGATATGTTGGAAGCAGATGCAGGATATCTTGTACGAGACACTGTTATCTTTGTTTGTGAAATCCTGGATTGCTGCCCTTGGTTTGATTTTTCTGACCTGGAGGTTAGTGATTCAACCATTTATATAGATGTTTTCCCTCCATAGGGCCAAGTATGTGGTTGTGTGCATGGTTATTTCACCTATGAAACTGGTAATGGAACTTGCCTATAGCAAATTAGTAATTACCACAGTTCTCAGCTCAATGTTGTGACAAATTCGAATATGATCTTTTATATTGCTAACTCCTCCTCGTGGGGTGATTGCATATATGTAGGAAAAGAAGCTAACGGGCTAATACCAATCCATTTGAAAAAAGGCTAATGCTAATCCCAATACTACATGAATTCCAAAATCTAAACTGAGTGAAACTTATCAGCCACTGTTTATGGAGGAGAGACTCCAAATAATTCTTAAATTACTAGACTTACCACCAAGTCTTTTAAATAGGCTTAAATATTGGTTGACCTCATCATAAATGACATGAGAAAGCTGCACCCTCTTTCATGGATTTAGATTTTTAGGCAGTACACAAGGAGGCAGGAGTAGTTAGAAATGGATAGCACATTCAGGCTCCATTTGGAACACAGGAAATTAAGTTTTTGTGGGAAATGAAGGGGAGCCTTAGCGCACCGGTTATGGTGTTGGTGTGGACTGAGAGTCAGAGGTTCATGTAACTGGTTCAAGTTTTTGGGACGTAGGCTTGGATGTTGTTGTTGTTGTTGTAGTGCTTAGTGCTGGGTCCTCACTTTCAACATGGTACCGGAGCAGGTATTCCAGTGGCTGTGGTTAGTATTAATGCCAATGGAGTTTCTATTTATCCACAGCCTCTAACATCTTGGATCATAAAGCTCTTCGAATGTTTCTATTTTTGCTGCCAGTTGGAAAAAGATAGTCTTAAAATGCAGAAAATTTGGAAAAACATATTAAAAGAGAGTAGTGTTTTGTGTTAGTGTCATGTACAGTACTTTTCAATGTTGTGTAAATAGAAAACGAAGTGTTGATGGGTGTTTGGGTGAGCATCAAAAGTTCAAATTTAAAAGATGTTTATTGGTCTAGTAAATCTTTAAAGATCAAATAGAAATTCAAAGGTATTCCAAATAGAAGTGTTCAACAGGTCAGAGTGTTCCTGATAAAAGGTGTCAATGAAAGTTCAAGTGTTATCATCTTGGTTTACAAGCTTTAAGGATTATATATTCTTGAAAGGGAGTGTTGAATTACTAATTCTCATCATAATGTACATTTGTAAATTGTAAATGGTCAGCACCTGGTTTTACTTGAGTATAATCATTAGTGCTATTTATGTAACCTATACAATGTCTGATACTACCTCCGTCCCCCTAAGTTTGGGACAAACAGGTGTGGTGTGGTTTTTAAGAAAAAGTAGAATTGTGTGGTTGGTATTGAATTGATAAAGTGTGAATAAAGTAAGAATGAATTGTAGCCACAAAAATATTACCAAATATGACATGGGACAAACTTAATGGGACAAAGTTAGGGGGACGGAGGGAGTATGTAAGAAGAGGGTGAAAAAATATGGAGTGCCTTTAAGGTAGAGGTGTTAGGTATGCTGTACTCTTGTGTGTTTGAGTTTCATTCATATAAAGAGTTTTCAGTGTTCTGTTCTGGTTTACAGCAGTCCAGATGCAGAATAGGCTTCATTCTATCTTTATAGGTTTTTAGCAATGCTGTAAAAACCAGCCAATAGGTACCCCTAGGCTGAAGCAAAAACATAAGAATGACATTTCTGTGGTGCTGTATTGACTAGGCCGTCTAGGCGCCTGCTGGGTGCTTCTATGTGCCTTTAAAGGGTATCTTATTGGAGAGTACTCAACTTTGGGCATTTGTGTACAAACACAAAGCATAAATTACAATATTATATAAGGTAGTTTTCAGGGAGCCCAAGTATTTACCTGCTTTAATATGTGCTAGGCACTTCTCGTGCCCCTGATGGTTGCTTACCGGTAATCGCAATGCGCCAAGTTCCGAAATGCCCGGGTCAATGATACATGGCTGAATAGTTTTGCTGTATGGTCAATTACCCATTTTTCCTTTGGATTACAAATGTTAATTATTGGCAAGGTGATAGAATAGGACGGAGATTTTTTAGAGTTGACATGACATTTAGGAAGTGATGGATCATCAGATGGACTTTAAAGTAAGTTTATAATTTATACTATCTTAAAGTAAGTGACACCAAATAAGGGAGCCTGTGGATACTGGAATATGATTCTAAGATCTGCCTTCCAATTGTATTATTATTGTTAATTTTTAGTTAATATTTGAACTTTATGAACACCAACTGCTCAATCTGTTGGCAATGTTGTTTAAAAGACAGGATACTTGAATAAATTATCGTGTCTATCTTTTGATACTAGCGGGCCATTGTTGAATAGTGAATGCCAAAACTCTGGAGTAGATTTGTACTCAATGGCTCCCCCGCAATCTGATATTCCTGTGGAACTTCAGTTTCTGACTGACATTCTCACTTCGAAAATGGTTTCTGTTGCTTCTTTCTCTAGGTATTAGCTTCTGAGGATGATCAGGATGCTCTGACAACTGACCCCGATGAGCTCATTGATTCAGAAGACAGTGAAGGAATAAGTGGAGACGAGGAAGACATCTTTAGAAATCTTCTTTCCAGAGCAGGGTTTCACCTCACTTATGGAGACAATCCTTCACAACCTCAAGTTACTTTGAGAGAAAAGCTTCTCATGGATGCTGGTGCTATTGCCGGTTTCTTGACCGGACTTCGTGTATATCTTGATGACCCTGCTAAAGTGAAGCGTTTGCTCCTTCCAACTAAAATATCTGGCTGCAATGATGTAAAGAAACTCAGTAAGATTGATGAATCTTCTCCCAGTTTGATGAACTTGTTGATGGGAGTAAAAGTTTTGCAGCAGGCAATAATTGATCTACTTTTGGACATAATGGTAGAGTGTTGTCAACCTTCCGAAGGCTGTCCTGGAAGTGATTCTTTGGAAGTGACTTCCAATCCTCTTCCAAATGGTAGTGGTCCTAGTCAGACCACCACTAGTTCATTAGATAATGATAGGGCCAATGATGCCAATGAAACTGTGCAGCAACCCCTGCATGATAGACTGGATTCTGTGATGGATGAAGGAACGAGTTTATCTGCTGTTCAAAGCTCAGATGTTGGTGACAATGATAACCAAGGGAAAAAGTTTCTCCGGCAGCCTATTTGTCCTCCTGAAACATCTGCTGGCGGTTCTTTAGAAAATACTTCTATTCGCTCAAAGGTATAATTCTTTCATTGTCTTTCATGCTTAATACTAATATTGCGGTTATTGCCAGTACATAGTATATCATTCAAAGAAAATTTCGACTACAGACAAAGTGGCCGGAGCAGTCTGAAGAGCTTCTTGGATTGATTGTGAACTCCTTGAGAGCACTTGATGGAGCTGTTCCACATGGTTGTCCTGAACCACGGAGGAGGCCACAGTCTGCACAGAAGATTGCACTTGTACTTGATAAAGCACCAAAGCATCTACAGCCAGACCTTGTTGCCTTGGTACCAAAATTGGTTGAGCACTCAGAACATCCACTTGCTGCTTGTGCACTTTTGGAACGACTTCAGAAGCCAGATGCAGAACCTGGACTGAGAGTGCCAGTAAGATTCGCTGAAATATTTTGCTTTTGAAATGTCCATGAAGAATCTTTCATCTATTGTGCATTTGGAGTTGGAATCTTACTGATAACTTGTACCATTTGATTGCTTGCTCGCTCTTTATTTCACAGGTTTTTAATGCACTTAGTCAGTTGGAATGCAGTAGTGATGTGTGGGAACGTCTTCTTTTCCAGTCATTTCATCTTTTGATAGATTGCAATGATGAACCTCTTGCTGCAACCGTTGATTTCATATTCAAGGCTGCAATACATTGCCAACATATTCCAGAAGCAGTATGTATTAACTATAAATAAAAATGGATCTGTATTTCAAAGATGGTATGTTTATTCCCATTTTACCAAACTAATATTCTTCCTTCAATGCAGGTCAGAGCAATTCGCACAAGGCTAAAAGATTTGGGAACAGAGGTCTCGCACTGTGTCCTTGATTATTTGAGCCGTACAGTGAGTAACTGTGCCGATATTGCTGAGGCGATCCTTAGAGATATTGAGTCTGATAATGGTTTCAGTGAGAACTGCACAGCAGTTCCCTGTGGGACTTTCCTGTTTGGAGAACACTGTCAGAACACTGAAAGACGTGATCATGTGGATGAACATTCTTTCCATTTTAGTAACAATGTTTCTGATATCTATATTCTGATTGAGATGTTATCCATCCCCTGTCTTGCTGTTGAAGCATCCCAAACATTTGAGAAAGCTGTTGCACGAGGTGGTATATTGGCTCAATCTGTAGCAATGGCCTTGGAAAGGCGCCTTGCTCGAAGAATAAATTTAACCTCCCAATATGTTGCTGAGAATTTTCAGCATGATAATGTGGCTGTGGAAGGAGAAGCCATTGAGCAACTGAGGGCCCAACAAGATGATTTTACTTCAATTCTTGGTCTTGCTGAAACACTAGCACTTTCCAGAGACCCGCATGTCAAAGGGTTTGTGAAAATTCTTTACACTATATTGTTCAAATGGTATGCTGACGAGTCTTACCGATTGAGGATCCTCAAGAGACTTGTTGATCGTGCTACCAGCACAACAGAGAATACCCGTGAAGTGGATTTAGATTTAGATATTATAGCAACTTTAATTTGCGAAGAGACAGAAGTTGTTAGACCTGTTCTTGGTATGATGCGGGAGGTTGCTGAACTTGCAAATGTTGATCGAGCTGCACTTTGGCATCAGTTATGTGCTAGTGAAGATGAAATTCACCGCAACCGTGAGGAAAGGAAAGCAGAAATCTCGAATATGGCTAATGAAAAAGCTCTGATGTCCCAAAAGCTTGACGAATCTGAGGCTCTTAATATCCGCCTTAAGGTCTCTCTTTCTTTCAACATGTGTGTGTGTGTTTGTTAGTCTGCCCTGTGGATGAAAGTTTCACTATTGAATGATGTACATAAGTAACTTCATAAATTACACTAACATCATCGAATTGCAGTCGGAAATGAGGTCTGAGATTGATCGCTTTGCTCGGGAACGAAAGGATCTTACTGAGCAAATACAAGATATTGAGAATCAACTTGAGTGGATCCGCTCTGAAAGAGACGAAGAAATTGCAAAGCTCACTACTGAGAAAAGAGTACTGCAAGACCGTTTGCATGATGCAGAAATTCAGCTTTCCCAAATAAAATCTCGAAAGCGAGATGAACAAAAGGTATGATTATTTATTGATTTACATAAATTTTCTTTATATCTGATCAATATTGCTCCCCTACTGGCCTACCATCAAACTCCAGTGCCTTGATAATCAGTCATAAACTTACTTGACTCTGACAATAAACAATTTTATCATCATCCTTTTGTCTTCTCGGTTCCTTTCCAGAACCTACTTATGTTGCTCAATGTTGTTTTCTATTTTGTGCTTCATAGTGATGATAATAAACAAAATGTAATATTCATGCTTCTGCGTATCTGACCCTCCAAAAAAGAAATAAAAAGGATTACTTTACAGGAATAAAGTACTATCATCTATTGTTGTTTTGTTTCTTAGCAAACCATGACTATCTATTCCTTGATGCCCCAGAAATTAGTAAAGGAGAAAAATGCTCTTGCTGAAAGATTGAGGAATGCAGAAGCCGCAAGAAAAAGATTTGATGAAGAGTTGAAACGTTATGCCACTGAAAATGTTACTAGGGAAGAACTACGGAAATCACTTGAAGATGAAGTTCGCAGGTTAACAGAAACTGTTGGACAAACTGAAGGTGAAAAGCGTGAAAAAGAAGAGCAGGTTGCTAGATGTGAAGCCTATATTGATGGGATGGAATCCAAGCTGCAAGCCTGTGAGGTTATTTATTTTACCCCCTTCAGTGCAGTTCTTCTTTTTTGTATTTCACATACTCTCCCTTCTTTGGATGGGTGTAGCAAAAACAGGTCAGTGTAAAAGTTTGCAATTATCCCTTTTTTACATGTTTTAAACAAGTTTAGGGAATTAATTAACACTGTAAGTTGGGGTTAGGATGATAAAGAATAATAATCCACACATGATGGAAGTAAATATATTATGCCTCGTATACCCCCCGCCCCCCGCCCCCCCAAAAAAGCACCATCTCCAAAGAATTGAGCTGCCTGTTGCGCCAATTGTCGTTTTGTCATTGTTTTATGTGAGGCATTTTACTGCTTTTTCAAATTCATTTGGAATTGATTAGATCTCGCCATAATCTCTTTATTTGTGGTTTTTTTTTGTTTTGTTTTCAGCAATACATTCATCATCTGGAAGGATCACTTCAGGAAGAAATGTCAAGACATGCCCCGCTATACGGGGCTGGCCTGGATGCATTATCGATGAAGGAGTTGGAGACATTGGCAAGGATTCATGAAGAAGGGCTCATGCAAATCCATACCATCCAACAACGGAAAGGAAGCCCAGGTGGTGGTAGCCCTCATGTTGTAAGCTCCCTTAATCTTCCGTCGCACACTAACGGATTGTTCCCTTCTACAATGGCTGTTGGACTTCCTCCACCCATTCTACCGAACGGGGTTGGTGGGATCCACGGTAACGGGCACGTAAATGGTGCAATTGGACCATGGTTCAATCATTCCTGAGTCTCTCCTCTCTCTATAGATTGGACATATCCTAGCAATCCTAGGTGGGGGTTATAAAGCTCCCCCCTCTCATCCCTAGTGTTTTAGCTCTGAATTTGGAGCTTTGGTCCTGACCAATGATGTGTAGGGCTGGCTATACACCTTTTTTTTTGAACTGGCATTTTTAGCTGGTTGAATTATTGGAACAGGGGGGGGAGGGTATTCCAATATAGCACTTACCAGCTATTGCCAATGCTGCACTTCCCCCCACTAAATCAATCATAAGTTTTTCCCTTCATTTAGATAGTTTTGTTCATTCTTGAGCTTCAATTTATTTACTATCTTAACGTGATGCATCAGCTGGCATCTTATAATTCTTTTCAAGTCATAATAAGCTTATTATACGCTTTTTCATGTCACAATCTTAAATTGTCCACATAAAGATTAAGGTAGTTGAATATTTAACATAGATACGAGCGCATCACTTGTTGTGTGTTCTTCCGTTTAGAGCGTATTATATCTTGTTGGAAAGATAATTTGGAGTTCTACAAGCGTATTATATCTCCTTGGAAAGATAATTTGGAGTTCTAAAGCTATTTTTCCTATTTCATTTACAATGCATTAATTAAAAGTTACAGATTAACCATAGATTAACATGTAATTAATGCATTGTAAATGAAGTTGGAACAATAGATTTAGAACTCAAAATTATCTTTCCATCGAGATGTAATACGCTCTAAATGGAAGAACACACAGCGCTGTGATGACAGAATGCATTGAGTTATTGGTAAACCAAATGAACAAGAAACAAATCCCAGTTAGAATTTGTTGTCTAGCACTTTTTTGAACAATCGTTATGATAGTGTGTGTCTATCCTGCCTTGATCTCTTCTTGCTCATTTGGTTGGGCACATGTGCATGATAATGGCCCTGTTCCAATCCGTTACCAGTTCCAAAGTTTGGAGAAGCTAACCGCAACGGGTGGTTAATTGTGGTCTGGCTCCTGTCTGATCAAGTTACAGTCAACAGTTTTGGGGATCCATTTCGTCATTCGTTTACGGCTAGTTCTGGATTTTAATTTCAAATTTAAACAAAAGTTGGATTAAGTTGTATTTCTTAGGGTTGGGACTGGCCAGTGGGGGGCCTACTGCGGAAAACCTGTGACCAGAATGTTATTTGGTACCTAACCTGTTCCGGTTCTAAAACCGATCAGCGGCTCAGCTTGCAGATACACAACCTTTTGGTCCCAACTTGGGACAGTATCATGCTGTCCACCCTTTATTGCACGGGGGCATCATGGTCATTTTCATCCCACACTTGCATAAAAATTGTCTAGTCATTGCTGCAGTTACTTTCGTGTGAAAGGATTGGAATCTTTTTGGTACTTTCCTTCTTTTTGCCAACCCGAATGCCCTCTCAAGGACTGGACATTTCTTCATGAAGAATGTATTAGGTGGATTGGGGGACTCTTGGACTCTTGAAAGTGTAATCTTAAGCAGCCGGGTACCCAAAGTACATCCATACCTTGAGTCGACAACATGCAACTTTCCTGGATGGCTTGTGATAAAGTTCATCTCCTGGTAGGATATGTTTTACCACTACTTGCAAATAAGTTCAAATTGAAAATAGAAGTCCATGAATGAGTTTATCTCCATCCGTTCCTATTTATAACTTTTAAGGTTCTGCATGTGGATCATCAATGCACTTTGCTTACATAACTGGTCATTTAGAACACACTCAAGTCTAGATCGTAGTTAAGAAAGTGAACAAGGAATCATGCCACATCACACATTTACTAGTCTTGTCTTACCTTTTATAATTTGCACTTCTTCCCCTGATGAAAAGAAAGTCACTCCATTGGAAAAAATAAAAATTAATAACACTTGCATACTGTCTTCACGTTAAACCGGTGAAAGTATTTCAAAAATGATGTTTGAATTACTCTTATACCCACTTTTGAATCCACCCATGTTTGTGAAAGCTTTTTTTTGTCTGTGAACATCGATTCACGGACAATATTTTGCACAAACAAAATATTTTACACAAACAAAATATTGTCTGTAAACTGGGTTGACGAGTTCACAGACGAAAAAAAAGCTTCACAAACATGGTGGGTATAAGGCAGAGTTGCTATTTAGTTCCATTAAGAAAGAAAGAGGCTTGGATGCCTTCTCTTTGATCTGTCTAGTTCTATTTTGTCGGGTGAATACCCACGTGAATGCCGCATAGCCCAGTGATGAATGAATAGATTCCCCATTTTTACTAGGGTTCCCCAAACAAATATGTATAAGGGTTGGTACATCGAGCATTGTTGAAAGTAATTATGCCGTGTATCAAGATCAAATTTTCCAGTTTTGCATCAATTTTGTGTTTAATGAAAAAACATTGATATATAGCTTCTTCATCAAATTATGAACCTGCAGCATAAACTTTGATTTCATATAAAACAAAAGATTAATACTCCGTATTAAAAAAGCATCATGTTTGTCTGATGACTTTCTACCTGTCGTCTTCCAGCGTTAGTCATGTTACTTTGTTTTCTTTTCATTTTTCGTGTAAAGCTAAGAACGATTTGACTTTTCGGTATAATTCTTTTACCACTAGTTAATTTTGGTTTTGGAGGGACTAAATTGCAAACAAAAATACTTCTATTTAAATTAATATGACTGCATTATTTGGATATGATGTGGCATTTTCTTAAATTTTCATTGGTTTAAAAAGATGTGTACGAAAACACTTGTATTTATGTTGGTGCGGTAGAAGAACCCTTTTCTTTCATTCTCATTGGTATAAAAAGATGTGTACCAAAAGACTTGTAATTTATGTTGGTACCTTGGAATAACCCTTATTTGCTTGTAACCATTTTCCTGATTTGTACTTCAGATGTTTTTACTTGGACTGTAATTTGCTGGTCTGGTCTGGTCTGGTTTCTTTGTATTTTTATAACTATCCAAGTCTGGTCTAAACTGGTCTGATCTGGTCTGGGACGAATTACAGTCCAAGTAAAAACATCCTTCGTATGAAAGTCAAAGTCGAAAACTTATCTAATAAGGACTTGAGGGAGTATTGGATAGCAATTTGTTGCTACATAAACATCATTATTGAAACAAAAGGTCAAGCAAATGAGATTTTAAACTAATGTAAAAAATTTGCTAAATTATGAGAGCAATGAAGATTTACCTAGACATAGCAACCTTGATTCTTCTATCATATCCATCACATAAACACTCACACAGTACTAGTTTCAACTAAGGGTGGACCGGTTCGGGCCTGGGTCCGGCCGGGCCTCGGTTTATGAAAGGTGAGGCCCGGAACCGGTCTGGGTAACCCCGGGTCCGGGTAACCCCGAGTCCGGTCTGGGCCGGGCCGGGCCTGGCCTCTGTTCTTGTATTTTTTTTGGCTTTTCTTAATTAACCCCCAACCCTCCCCCCTCACCCCAAACCACCCCAAACCACCTCAAATGGTCCATCATATCCAGCCCAACCCAAAAACATAAAAAAAATCAAAAAAAAAAAGAAAAAAAAATGGCCCGGATCGGGCCTGAACTGGCCGGGCCGGTTCACGATTTAGGAGGCTTGGGCCCGGCCTGCCTACCTCACCGGGATGGGTGGCCCGAACCGGGCACCAACCGGTTCATCGGGCCGGTCCGGGCCCGCACAATAGCGGGCCGGTCCGGTTCTGAGCTGGTTGGTCCGCACAATAGCGGGCCGGACCGAGTCCACTTCTAGTTTCAACATGAAGAATACCTTAAGAAAGTAGCAAACACAAATTAAAACTAAAATACTAATAAAATTAGGGTTGGGTCCGAAAAACTGAAACCGAAAACCGAATCAAATTAAATTGAACCACGACCAAATAAAATCGAACCGCTAAAAATTGAATGTAAAAAACTGAATTGAATTGTAGTAGTTTGGTTCGGTTTTGATTTTTACCCTTCAAAATCGAACCGAACCACACAAACCGAACATAAATAAAATATGAAATTTTATTTGTTAAATGTAAGCATTAATCTTAATATCAACAATAATCTTTGAATTTTTTGTGCTAGACAAATAATGTTTATGTTATGTTTAGTTTATTTTATAAATGCATTTACACATTCATTGCTCATAATAATTTAGCTATATTGATCTATTATGTCTTTTATGTATGTATGTTTAGGGGTGGGCATGGTCGGTTAACCGGGTTTTGGTTAACCAACTTTCGGTTAACCGAGAAACCGGTTACTATTTTTTAACCGAGTATCGGTTAACCATCACTTCGGTTAACCGAGTATCGGTTAACCGCTTTGCGGTTAACCAAAAACCATAAAACCACAAAATATTAACAGTAAAATCAAATATGAATAGAAACTTTCCAAAAAATGCAGGAATTAAAATAATACACCACGTATATAATTATAATACTGCAAACTTAACAAAATGCTATAATACAAACTCCAACAAACTATAATTATAATACTACAAACTATAATAATGACGTATCTAAAATCTAAAATACTGCCATTTCTCTAAAACTTTATCCATATTTAGGTATCAATCACATTTATCTAAACTTTATAGTTTATTCATAGTCAAGTCAATGTCTATTCTACTATAAATATAATTCAATAAGTTGACAGAGTCACATATATTACAAACTCCAGCAAATATAAACTCTGTTATATTTGTGTACGACTTAAGCTAGATTAATAAGATTAATATTGAACTTTCTGTTTAATACTCCGGTATCAAAGTTATTTGAGAATTGATGAAGTTCTAATCTTATTAATTATTACAGAATAAAAAGTAGGCGAGTTGTTTCATATGTATCTAGGATTCCAGGTAGTGTTTTTTGAAATATACGACCAACGACCTTAAATTAGCTTACTGGTTACATACGAAGCATGTATTATTTGAAATACCGCTTAGCGGTTAATCGACCATATCTTATTTTCAAAACCATAACCGTACCGTGTACCGTTTTTTTTGCGGTTGGTTAACCGTACCATGATTTAATTAAAATCGGTACGGTTAACCGGAAAAAATAACGGTTTTCTGATTTTTCGGTATGATTAAACGGTTACGGGCTTTTGTGCCCACCCCTATGTATGTTGCAATTTGTTGCATGATTATATGTTTTTACTAGTTATTAGTAGTAATTAACTTTTATTTTTAAGTAACTTAATTCTTTTTTGTAACTTAACTTTTTATATTGATAAAACAAATAAATATTCATCTCGGTTAAATCACATAGGACGTATGTATTCATAAACGTTGTTCAAACTAGTCACAAACATTGTAAATTAAGAATAG